AATGGTTTGCATCTCGAATTTTTGGGTTGCGTTGGGAGAGGGCGGACTAGTCTTGGAACTCCTACTATATAGATTATAAAAAACATGTACTTTAACTGGTACATTAAATTCACAAATAGTGACTTGTGTATATATAGTTAATTACTAAAAGTATTTTAGCAATAGCAATATTGCTTTTAAAAATTCATTTAAAAATATTTATATTTTCATGATAAATGTAAAAGCAACCATGTACATTATAATAACGTGAGCCGTGTCATCTGACAACAAATGTAGGTACCAAGTCTTATTTAAGTATGTATGAGACTAATGTAGAGTGAGTGATTTCCCTAAAGACAAGTCTATTTTGTGTACCGTAAGAAAACAGATAAGATATAGGTATGTAGACATCGCTACATAAATTATCTTTGTACTAATTTCTGAAGGCATGATTTTTTTATTATATCGACTGGTTCGTGTATATCAGTCCTGTATCCTATGTAAGTAAGCAAGATTACCATTGAGGTCGGAAATGGCCAACTCCGCCTGCACTTACATTAATAAGTACCAGTGAAGGATGATAAGTGAAGATAAGTGAAATCAGTTTATATGGTTTATCGTGACGAATTTATGTAGAATTAACCATGATGATTACTATATCAATTTGACTTATTAACAATGGGATTAATACTTCCCCTTATTAATAATCCCTTCCCCATGGAGGTGGCGTCAGCAAAGACAAACGTAATGAGGTTTTTCTTTATGTCTCGCTACTGTGCGCTTCACTATCAGTTCTCAAGGGTTTGAATTAATCACTTAGTCAGACAAGCTTACGTCTCGCTGAGATATCGTTAATTTAACACTTAAAACGTTTTTATTCGAGTGGATAATTGCAAGGGGGCGGTCGTAATGGCCCACGTTCGGCCTCAGCCAAGATTGATGACGTGCTGTGTTGAAACATTAAAATAGCTGACTGAACATTTGAATAAGAAATACTCTATTGCTCCTGGGATTACGCGATGAAACGATCGTTTGTATTTTTTTTTGCTATGGATTTGGAATACATTTGAGAGAAGTGAGGGGCTCCGTGTGATATATTACTTAATAATTCGAGGGTGACTTTATATTTTGTAAAATTGCATGTTTTCTTTGTCTATGTTAATGTGAAATTCTTTTTACTTTTTACGCAACTGTAAGTGATTATATAAATGAATAATTTATGTAAATATAAACGAAATGCTGTCTGTTTACATAAACTGTATATTCATATATATATTGTCTTTAGATGTATTACACTGTGTTAAAAAAAAAAACTATTTAAGCTTGGAGATAAGTTTATATGTGATTCCTGTATATTTTGCAATACATTAATTATATCAATGAGATAATAAATTGTTACATTCATGTTATTAAGGATTTATTGCATATAAAATACTGTCTAATATGAATTTAAAAGCAATATGTATTTACTTATTTAACATAAATCTATAATTCATCTCGATAAAAATATATTATATTTATAGAGTTAATTATGAATTTAGACAAATGTCAAATTCATAATAGCAAATTTAAACTAGATTAATTATTTTCTTTTTTCAGATTCTTAAGATTGAATGGAACTAGATTTTCGTTATAACGTGATATCTATATTAAAATGGAATATACAAATGTATATTAACAAGTAAATAAAAATAACCAAAGTAGCATATTTTAGATAATATTAGTCCTAAAAGTACGTTAGACAACACATATGTTATTCTTATATTTCATGAAGTGAAATGCACGGCTTCGCCTTCGCTGATCAAGACATCTTCCATTCCCCTATTAGATAAAGATTTGTAAAAAACGCCTTTCTCACAGGGTGGCCACATATGGAATCCCTAGTTTTTGTTGTACTTGGGTAGATTGATATATTTACTTTTTCTATATACTAAAGGACATAATGTTGTAAGCTATGTTTGAATCAATATTTTTTCACTTCTATTATCCTATATATTATTTTATACTATTCCATAGTGGACAATCAGATAGAAGATTATCTATAAGTTATTAAGAAAACAATATCAAGCTAGAATCTAAAAACGTCGGTTTATTTAATTGGCAAAGGCAGCAATTTACTCCCGAACAAACGACAACTTACTACTGCAACAAGCTGACAGCCTGTCTGATAGAAAGTGGCGACTATATGACCTAAGATAGGAATAACATAATGGACATCACTGAATATATCAGCGCAATGCAAGACACTGTGATGCAAAGCGCTAAATGCCTCCTGAAAAAGACTTCCGGATGAAACCTCAACAAATAACGGAAACGACAAAACCTACTGAGTTCATTAATTTCCCATTACATATGTATATAGATATCGAATAAAAATTAACATAAGTGTTAAAAATAATATCACTGTATACTCTGTGATGTATATCCCTGATAAGTTCACTTATGAAGATGTTCCACAGAGAAATAGCTACTTTGCGGCAGAAACACAAGGGGTAACCATGCAGACGACTTTTGTTCGACTGCCTCTAGTATATTTGCATTCCAATAATGTTTGCAACCCTAAAATTGTTAGTATTGAAGCGAGGCTTCACTTACGTTAAGTAGCAGCGCACGAAATAAGGATTTAATCTATGTAAATCAATGTTTTATGTAGCCCCGTGCAAATTTAAATGTTATTTCAGGTAGCATACCCACTCGCGAATCCGGACCCTGTTTACAATGTTAAGATAATGTTAGAAAAACAACGATACATTTAGGGGAAGGTTCGGGGGCGCTAATCTGATACTGAGTGAAAAGATTTAGTGTACGCCCTACGAAATTAATCTTCGCCATTTATATTAGGTAGGTATGAATGTATCTACATTTGGAGTGTTTTGCAAAATATAATTAACTTTCATGATTTTATTCAGGCTATATACTTAATATTAAGAATTTCTACTCGGAATCTCTAATGTGTATTTTGTGTTAAAGAATTATTTCTGTAAAGTATAAAAAATCCTGTTCATTCTACAGGAAAATATCTAGGTACTGGTACAATTTCGAAGCGCTGTACTAATAAATATAGAATGAATTTACTTATTCATTCATATTGAACTATATTTATTACGATGATGTCTATATATGGAAGAATACAATATTTATTTCCCAAGTGGCCTACGTATAAATAAACGCACAACGGACTCGCGTATTCTGATGCCAGTGTTTGTACGTAGGCATTTGAATTCTTTGTCGACTTTGTTAACAATATTAGGTAGTGCAACGGAAACCTCCGTTTCTATTTTCCGTTTGGTTATATTGCACAATATTTGCAATATTGAATGCGCGAGAACACACGGCCCCGGCAATGGATAGAAAATACCGCCAACTGAGCGCACTATTCCAAGTATATTGCTATCCGATAGTGGGATGATATTGGAAATTCCTATACGTGACGTACCTAATAAGATAGCAACAACATATGGTAGCAATTTATTTAAATTACAAGTGCTAGTAATGAATAGAACCAAGTTATTTATTATGAATAACTTTCTTCACAAACTATATAGGTTTATGCACTTATACTTACTTATGTATAAAGATATTTTCTGCGTATGTATTTGTTGTATTTACTTATAACACAGAATAGAATAAGTAGTAACAACACCAATATTTTACAGTAAAGTTATATAGATACCTGGCTACAACTTATAAGTTTTCCTCGACGTCTTTTGTGCATATATTTATTATGTTTAGTTGTTTTATAATTATTTTATTTGCAATTAGCTATTATTATTCCTGTAGCTTTATCCGTGTGAATTAGTATATATAGTATCCTACGTGCTAAGTTAAGATATAATCTATGTGTGTAACAAATTTCATTCAAATCCATTCAGTAGTTTTTGCGTGAAAGAGAAATATCCATCCATCTTTACAAAGTTTCACATTTATAATATTAATCTTATTAGTATAATAAAAATGCAGCTAGACGATTTCTGAACATGGAAGATCATTAAGAAAAAATAATATGAAGGGTCTTAATAAGAATAATAGAGGCTAAAACGATGCTTTTTAAAAAATTTGTTCGTTTGTGTATCTGTTCCAGCATCACGCAAAAACTACGGCACCAAATCGGATGTGGTTTTTACAGTTCTGTTATATGTTTTATCTTAATACTACTAGAAGTGGTCCATTTACTTGATTTTCCTATTTCTGAAATCAACGCATACAAAGTAGCAGACAAAAGCTAGTAAGATATAAAACAATGTTATAAGATTGCCTTATTGTAGCACTATATAATTCATAATTTAGTATAAACATATAGAGTCGAGGTAATTTGGAAATGTTTGAACCCTAAATTACCCAAACTTATTTATGCAGTGACATGCTTAATCACTGCAGATACTGGAAGTTGTAAGGGCTCGTGTCAAGTGCTAATGAAAATAGAATTCATTAAGCACGGAGAAGTAACAAATGACCCAACTTTGATATCGCCAGAAAAACAAACACTATAGGAAGTGGACATTTTTGCGCAAATATAATATTTAAAACAATTTTTTATTTATTAAAATTGGTATTATTTTTTTTATAAACTTTCTGGGAGATATAAGATCTAACTTACATCCCTTCGCTGAGAAAATATTGTTAAATTTTTTTTAACAATACAATAAGTGAGACCAACACAGGCATTGAAAAAAAACTTAAAATGTATTTTTTACTGTACTTGGAAATCTTGAATAGGCTGTCGTAAAGATACGAAAGCGCAATAGATACAAAATTAATATAGATTTAGTAAATTTTTTATATTATGAATTGCAAAATTTATCAAAATCGGTTAAGATTTGACGAAGACATCGAGTAACATGCTCAATAAATCATCAACTTGTCAAATTAAAACTGTTTTTTCAAATTGTTAAGAAATAATAAAGAAAAATTAAGTTATATTTGTTTTTATTTTAGTACAAATAAATATATCATAACATATGCATTATTTGTTTTATTACAAGTTACTAGCTCATAAAATTAATTTCAATGTTTAAAAATACCTTAAAACTAATCAGAGTCATCATCGATAACGGCGCGGCGTTTCTTATTAGCGGGTTTTGCCGGCAAAACTATGTCCTCCTCATCTTCCTTTGCGCTGTCATCTGTAGATTAAATTTATCTAATTATAATATTCATTCTTATTTTAATACGAATAAATTTAAATAATTTATTAGGACATTATTTCCTGTCGTTCACAGAGAAAATAGTTTATATTACAATAAATTTGTGATAAATATAATTATTATTAATATTCATCTATCGACAACATAACGCCAGATTATATACGGAGTAAGCAGAACACCTTATGTTATCGGCTGCTATCCTTATTTTCGTTTGCTGTAGTTATTTTCAATACTGATCATATACTTAATGAGTTACTAAGTTTAATAATGATAAACAAAGAGGGCAACAGATAAATGTAATAAAAAAGTTTTATGAGTATGAAAAAGACTTTATTCGCGTGATAGCATATATTGATTATCATATTGTAAGATGTCAATTAATGCCCGTTTCCATGCCTACTACGTGTACGTCAAATTTAATGACGTCAACTTCTATAAGTTGTTAAGGCGCTAAGAAGTAACAAATGAACATATTTTCACATTTATAATACAATTAGTATCACGTGGCATGGCTTTGCGTGGTACCTACGGACATTTAAGATATGTTTCTTCTACTAAAATTACATTCAAATTCATTCATACACGTGTATGTATCAATGTGTAAAGCACATATCTTTAAAAATTCTCACTTTTATAATATTACTGTGTAAGTTATAGGAAAAAAATAAGTATATCTTACCACTATTTGCTGTAGGCAAATCTTTCAATATGTCCTCAGTGTCGGGGAACTCCTCTTGTTCCAATGTTTTCTTCGCAAATGATAGAATATCATCATCGTCATCATTTCTATCAAGGCTTAATTCTTCGTATTCGTCTATTTTTTGCATTTTCGCTTTTTTACCTCTTTCATCAGGGTCTACGCTGCGACTCCTTTTACGGCGTACTATATCATTATTTACACTTTTATTTGTACGAGTTGGAGTTTCAACATTTTCACGTAACTTTCTCAAATTATTAAATAAATCATCATCATCACTTGATTCGTCATTTCCTGATTGCTCCACACTTTTCATAGATTGCGATTGTTCTACATCATTAGCAGTGGGTATGTCCGTTAAAATAATCTCTTTATGGACAGCTTTCATTATAATTTCTCTTCTTTTTCTTATAGTTTTAAAGTGTAAGCTACTTTGTATCCTCCAGAAAGTTTCCTGAACATCCAATGTATAGTCAGTCGATATTTAAATATTAATTATTGAAGAGATTCCATATAATTAGAAAATATATAGAGCTTCCTAATTAAATTGAAGTCTTTTACCTTTATTTAATTAATTTATTTCACGAAATAATTTTAACAATTTCATTGTAGGTATATTCTTATATATTATTCATATTCTTTATAAATAGTGTTACAATACAGCAGATCAGTATTATTTTTATAACTAGATATTTAACTATATATTTTGGTTTATTTTTTATTTACATTTTGCTTGTCTATTCTATTATTTAAAAACTTGTGAAAATTATGGCGACTTCTATATTTATCCGTACCCAGTACCAGTTAAAATAATCACAGTTTGGTAACTTTATAATCCAAAGTTTATAAAATTCAAACTTCCTCTGGTAGTTTTAATTCAAATCGGGTCAGTAGTTTTTGCATTAAAACTGTACGTAAACAAAGAGTAACAAAATATCGGTTGTATGGAGTTGATATAATTTACAAAAATGTACTGTCATATGTATGTCATATGTATAAAAAAACAACATAAATATTATAATAAAACTGCCAAAGATTTGATGCTTTATTTTATGACAGATAAATATGACGCAATTAAAAGGATTTTGGGAATTTTATGTAGAACGCTAAAATATGAAAACGTGATTTATAACATAGGATATTTATTTATAGCAACACGTAGAAATTGAGTGAAACAGAATTTCGATCCATTACTAATATTATTACTAAAAATTGTAAAACAAGTACAAAGTACATATTAAAATTACCTGTTCATCAGAAGGAGGAACGACCCCGATGCCTTTTAATATTTGTTGAAAGAACTTATTCTCCATAGCCTCAACAGACTCACTAGATATAGGAACGAGTGGTACACCTTCTGCTGTAGGGTCGTATCCTTCAGCTTCCTGATCCAATGCAACCTCTTCTAGATTTTCAGCCAACCATTTTAGACCGTCTGTTAACCCTGTTAATATTTAGTAAAGATTTTTTATAGGTTGGTATTAAATTCTCAATCATTACAAATTTTTATGACATTTTTATATTACAGTAAAGAAATTATATTTTACCACTATCCACAGCTTCCACCAATAATTTCGCAATTTCATTAGCACTGAGTTGAGGAACATTAATTTTTTTATTATTTTTTGCAGACTCCCTATATTTCTTTGGAGCTTTGTTAGGCGCCTTTCTTTTGATTGGTTTTGGAGATGATCTCTTGTCGTCTTCATTATCAGATTGATCTGAAGAATCTGCTCCGGACGAACTGTCTATACATTAAATAGTAATTACACAATAAATAGTTGAAACCAAATTAATAATAATTTTGCATTGACAAAAATATTAAGTAAAATTGTAAATTTCGGCAATTTTATTCGATAGTAGTACAGCAAAATTATGCAAGAATAATAAATTCGAATTGCATAGAAATATGAATGCAGTGGTTGGTTTGGCGCCGTTCTGTTATGCGCTACCATGCTTTACTATTGTTTAGTTACTTACCATTTGATTTATCGTCATCTGTGCCTGAGCTTTTAACTTTAGATTTCTTTTGCCTCTTTTTACGGCATTCTTTCTTGTCCTGGATAATGCCTAATTGTAATAATCGATCAACATAGCTTCGCTTTTGTCGTTTTTTTGGCATGCGAGAAATTATCACACTCATTGGATCTGAAAATTATTTTGTGTTCCATTATATTAATTAATCTGTCTATAAACTTGAGTGATAACAAATACTTCATCGTGAAATCACATTACGTGCAATTTAACGTAACAAGTCCCAAATTAACTAAATTTATTGCCCAATAAAAACGTTTATTCGGTTTTTGATAGAATTATTCATTGATATTATGTATTTCTGAGAATAGAATACAGCAGTCCCTCGATGGTGTGATTCCCTATACATTTAGCGTATAACACTATAAGCTTTATACAATGTTTTGCACAGTGCACTATAGTGATAAAATTACACTTATAACTTACCATCTATTTCTTTACATTCATCCCAAAGGTCTCTAAGCTGCTGATCCTCTTCTTCACTGAACTCTTTAGGAACTCTCCCTTTGGCCATTTCTTTGTTGCTACGCTTAGTAGGAGCTTTGAAAATAAGCCCAAGTTCCTTTAACTTGGATATCACACCGCGTCGTGTACGTGTTTGGTCGATTAGGTTCTCCAAAATCCAGTCGATTACATCTAACACGCATTAACATAGATTAATGACATCCTTTTATACAAATTATTAACGACGCAAGCCAAGGTTTATATTTATTAAGGCTGTTAAAAATAACGATGACGGGATAAAATTGTAAAATTTTATTTATTAACTTATCGAGAGGTCTCCTCGATTATCTAACATCAGCACGTTACTAATTTACAGAATTACGGACTAAGTTTGTCTTCTATTAGTAAATTTTAAAGTTTTTAATGTAATCGACTCAATAAGGCGTAAGCTACTGAATAATAAATTTACTTTTATCATCCTAGATCACAATGGTATTGGATTATACATAATTTATGTTGAATCCTAATTGAATATAGTTAAATATTTTAATCAAAATTTCTCTAATTTTCCATAAAGTTTTAAAGATAAATATAATATTCCTCTTATTTCATGTCTTTTCATCATTAACAGAATCTTCATAAAAAGAAGTTTAAAATTTAATTCTTACCAACCTTGATTAGTCTCCGGATTCGTTTGGTTTTCCATATACAATCTTCGTAGTTCCTCCTCTTGTTCCTCGCTCCACGCCCCTCTTCCGGGCTTGTCCCTGTCACATCAATAAGTTTATATTACCCCTGCAATTAATCATAGTTCCCCAACGAACACCCAGGCTTCAAACAAGATAGAACTAATGTGAAGTGACGTGCGAGTGTTCGCTACAACGAACTTTGTTATTACGTGTATTTGTGACTATAGATGTCAAAAAGTAATGTACATATATCAATCAATTATTGTTATCTACATGTGTTTAAATATTTAAGATAAGTAATTTTCCGTGATTTCATTAACCCTTTTAGGTCCCACTAGTGGGAACGGATTCTTATAGGGAGAGAAGCCTACTATAATTGTGCTAACTAAATAAATAAACACAGCGTTTTATATTTCGAGATTTCTTTCTCTAGCAACAATGTACTCGAAATGTGTTTTCTTTGCTTAGTCGGCTTTTACGTCTTATGGGGATAAAAAGGAGTGGTGACATATTGTATTCTACACCGTTGCTACACGTAAGTCCCGTGGTTTTGCTACACAAACCATTGTATCCTTTTCTCGTGGGAATTTACGGAAATTTCTTCTTAGTACAATCCTAACGTTATGTATAAGAACATTCGTGCAATGTTTCACTTTCTGCGTTTATCGATCGGTCCTTGAAATCTGATATTTGAAGTCATAGTGAGTGTAATATTGTTGTAACTGAATAGATAAAAATATTAGTCGGATATAATATTAAAAATTCTATACTTGGTAAATCTGTGTGCCATAGTGTAGTCCATTACCACACTATAGTTCTGTAAAATCGAACTGTGTAATTTCTATTATAGCCGCCGCATTGGCTTAGCAAAAAATATACAAAAATATACGTCAAATGTAGCTGGTTCTAATATTGGAAATAATGTACTTAATTGAGGAAAAGCTTGTAAGTAAACATAAGAACGAAAAATTCAGAATTTTACTAAAAAGGTGAGAAAAAGCGCTCTTGTACACGTTCATAATTTTGATAAAAATAAGAATAAGCATTTAAAAAATTTTACTTAATTATATGGAACAAAGACTAGAGAACGCGGCCATTTTTTTGTTTAACATAATGATATATATTATTTTAAATTAACTAGTTTAAGAAAAATATAAAAGTATTAGGATTATGTGAAACATACAATACAATTAATTTACTCAGTTTATTGGCAAAACAATTATTACTGTAATTGCGTCATTTATGTCACTTCACATACGTTCGATAAATATAAAGGTGAAATTCAACTGTGAAACAATTTTTTGTTTTCTTACTAATAATAATTTAATTTTTAATACAATATATTAGTAATTAATCAATATATTGAGAATAAAGAAATTTTTAGATGTCAATATATTGTCCGAAAGATACAGCTCAATGTGTTAATATAGTAGTATTACTGTACTCAAAACTATGGATAAATAGAAAACACAGTCGTGACTGTCGAAATTGAGTGGCGGTAATATTTCAACACTCACATCACAAAATACATATTAATGGGCACATTAGATCTCTTATGTATTTTCTTTATTCTGAGTAATGCATTGAATTAAGCCACTCCTTGTGTATGAGGATAATAAATGAATATATTATATTAACAAACGATATTACTTACTTTTGGTCAATGTAAAGATCATATCCGTGTTGTACTTCGTTTGCGTCCTTACTGTTTTTCCAAAAAAGCAATTCTATGAATACTTTATTATTTTTGGCAGCCACTTCCGTGAATTTTCTTAAAATGAATATCGCAAACTTCTCCATTTCCTGTAGATTGAACAGCGTGGTTGTGGGAGATCGGGATATAAAATTGTTATCAGATGAAACGGAAAAATAAAATTATATGGAGGAAAAGAATCAGTAAATATTCAATGCCTCAGTTATTTGCAAACACTATTTGAACAATTCAAAAGAGATGATCTATAGGATATTATGAAGTCAAATTTTACTTTTAATAGCATTAAAAAAGATTTATTGATAACATTAATAACAAGTAAAATCTTATTAAGATGTGAAAGTAAATTTATTTGTTATCCCTTGGCACCTTAAAGACTCAATTAATCGTCATGAAATTTGGCACATCGCTGATTAAAACGAGTTTATATTAATATTGTCAAATACCTTAAATTGTTCTAAAGGATTCTCTAAGATCCTTTGAAAAGTTAAAAATAGTGTGGCCTGAAACATCATGGAAGGCCTCTGGCAGTCCCACGCGATACGATGGAGCATTTTAACAATACAGTGATTTGTATGCGGCAAATTCTTATCATAACCCTCCAATAAATAAACACACGCGCTAACTATCCGTGGGTGACAAAACCTGTGAAAGGTAATAATTAAAATAATGAAGTTGTTAATATGCCCTTCCACATTGAATTCCAATATGTACGATGGAATGTGGACATAAAGAGCATTACGTTTATCGGAACACTAAAACTATTCCGTTTTATAGTCATTAGAATATTTAATATTATTTTATTTTTTAGTTGCTAATCTTCATAATCTTTATTATACTGTCAATCATATAGAAAAAAAAACCTGCTAAATTTACTGAAGACAAATATGATGTTGTCATATTTTTCAAATTGAATAACAAAATTTTTGTAATTTCAAGATTACTGCAATAAAAAAATATTTATATAATGAATTAGGACAAAAAAAATATGAAGAAAAAATAGAAATGAGCACTATCATTTGAAATATGATAGTGTTCTAATTTAGAAATCACTCCAATATAGCATACGTATTATCCTTTATTAATAATTTAATTATAAGTATCTTATAATTATACATGCATTAGCAAATGTTAAAAGTACCTTGACACAAAATCTTGAAAATTGAAATCGGTTTCTACTATTGTTGTTGATTTTTCTTCTTCCTCTTCATCTAAAAGTATGATAAGGTATTTAGAAATATAAAAATACTTAAACATGTAAATAAAGGAATAAGTTTATGAGAACTTACCTTCCTCGTCATAGTCCGAGTTTTCTTGTGTGTCATTTTCATCAACGACATCTAAAATAAAAAAAAAGTCGATTCAAATAATATTAATGTTTTGGTTAATATGGATTCTTATTTATGATTTTTTACAACCTACCGTTATTTTCCACTCCTAAGTCAGTGTTGTAAATGGTTTCTAACATCTCAAGTTCCTCGTCCTCTGGTATACCGTTGACGCCAAATATACCTTCTTCGGGCCAAACTTCCCTATATAGTATATATAAAAATATTACAATTAATTGTAACCATAATCTGTAATATAAGTGAAAAAAAAAAAAAAATTAACAAGATATTACCTCGCGGCTCTGAACATTCCGACGACATCTTCGAATTTATGACTGCGCATCAGTTTTTGTATGTTTTTCATGCAGTCTTCTCTGTATAAAAAATAATAAATAAATAAAATAAAAGTGTAGAATAAAACTAAGTTAGTGCGTTGTTTGTTCTTTCCAAAAACAGATAATGATTTAATCCTAATAGATATTACAAATTTTATAATAAATTTTCCCCTTCCTTTCTCGTGGGTGTCGTAAGAGGCGACTAAAGGAATTAATGGTAGAGGGTTGGGCAACAGCATTCCTCTTAAAACATCATCAAAGCCTAACTGTGGTTGCCAACCCGCCTGCCAAGTGTGGCAATTACTTGCAAACCCTCCTATAGAGCTGATATGACGATAATGATAAATTTTAGGGTTAAATTCAGAATAATGTTTTCAAACAAAAAGGATAACGTAATTAGTACTACAGTTATAAAAAATAAGTGTTTTCTTAAGAAAATAACCAGTTGTTTTTCTTAGTAATTTGACATTAATTCATAGAATTTTATATTTATGTACACTATTGGTTAGTGTAATAATGCAGCATGTTATATTTTTCTAAATTTAACATGTAATCCTAACTAGGATTATAAATTTATCAGAAAAACAGAATGCACATTTATTAAAATTGACTCCGAGAATCTTTTCCGTAGTTATGGATTTGGTCGCTAATTGAGAAATTTACATACAATTAAACTTTTATTAGATGTAAATAAAAGCACAGATAATATAAAACCATACTAAATAAAAGTAAAATGGAAAAACCTGATTTTATAACAAATTGTCTATGAATAGCGGAGAACTTACTTCTGTTGGTCTATAGGCACATCAGAGGCGGCGTCGAAGGGAGCGGCGAGGTGTTCGGTTCCGGAGCTCAATACGGCCGCGAGCTGCGCGCGAATTTCCTCCCATGGTGGTATCTCTGGTTCCGGATTCTTAGTTTTCTGGGATTGCGATTTGTTGGATTTCTTTTCTGCGCAGTGCATAGTTATAATTAAAAAAAAAAAAAATCTCTTAATTGAAAGGACTTTGATAAATCAGACACGTAAGCGATTAGCTTTATTATTGTTTACCTTTTTAATACATACAGAAGTTATTTAGAAACGACATCAAAAATAAGGGTAATTATTATTATTAGTTTGACATTTTTGTGTTTATTTTTTATTAAAATGGATTACTCTTATATTTTATCAAATTAGTTAAGTCGATTATGTATTTGGAAGAACAAAAAAAAAAATTATTACGAGTATAATGGCTCTATTATATATTATTTTATGAAGATTGATGTCAATTTTATAACTGCCTACGTCGAGTCAGTTAATAAGTAACACAGTAAAAATAGGTAAAAGGTTAAACCCAACTATCACAAGGGGTCCTATTCAATTAAGTAAATTATACATAAGAAGATAATTTTACAAACGCAAGACTACTTAATTTTGTTAATATTATGTGAAAATCTGAAAGTGAGTTTGTTTTTTTGTTATCTACTGGCACTTTAAGAAAGAAAGAAAAATATTTACTTGGCGCATAATAATAATAACAATTACAAACTAAAACATAAACAATTATAAATTTAAAGAAAAAGAAAATACAAAATAAGCTTACACCTAATTAGAAATTATGCGATCAAAATGGTCACCATGGTTTAACGGAAAACGTCACGAAACTTTGTACACATAGTTAGTAAATATACATAAATGGAGGACTCAGACTACTTTTTATTTTGGGCAATTAACTAATACCAGTCATGTATACGATGTCGCGAGTCGCGAAATTTACTAGCTTTTAGCTAGTAAATTTTTATTTATTACAAACTTTTTGTAACGATACTCCTTTATAATATTCTCAATAATGATTTGTGTGTTGTGTGAAAGATATAAACAATCATGTATTATGCTATACTTAACAGGTTTATAGCCGAACACAAAATGTTTCATTACGAAAGTTGAAAACGGGGCAAAAGCTTGTGGGGTCATGTATAAATATTATACAGACCACAAACGATAAAACAAAGGTGTTTAGCTGAAGTTAATTATCGTAGGTTGTTTCTAGACATGCAAAGTTGTTTTTGAGGTTTTACCTTAACAGTCGTTTCGAGTCTTAAAATAAACTTTCTTTGACGGATATCTTGTAAATTGTTTCAAGTAAATTGTGTTAATTTCCAAACTACCTTCCCTGTTACAGTACATTTGAGATTTTTTAGGTTTTCTCGGAACTACGGACAGAATATACGTAACCCGGTTTTTATATTCGGTTACGGAATCCTAAAATTTCAAATCCTTGTTTTCCTATATTTTGACTTATCGGGACGTAGATACAACAATTTTAATAGATTTTTTACGGAAAGATATTTTTCGGAACATCATTTATATGTTTTTTTATACAACTTAGAATGGCAAACAAGCTGACGGCCCACCTGATGGAAAGTGGTAACCGTCGCCAATAGACATGAACAGTACTGTGGACATAACAGAGTATACTGTTTCGCCCATAATACCCCACATGCGTTGCCATTCCTGAGGACTCAGGTGTTATTCCTCCGTACCCAGTAAATTCACGCCATATCCCACCCTTCAAATCGAAACACAGCATGCAAACACAACTGCTTTACGGTTGAAACACGAATGGGACAGAGGTACCCAAGCAATCGACTTTTGTATAAAGTCTCCCTCATATGTACTCTTAAATAAATAAGAAATGTTAGTTACCACGTGGTTACTACAAAAATTTACTAGAATAGAAACAATTATATATACTTTTGTGTTAATTTTTAATTCCAAGCTCAAAAGACCTTGTACTATGACTAAATTTTGATTGTTGTTGTACATGAAATTTATGTCGAATAAATGTACATTTGATAATTATTTTATACTACATAGGTGGCAAACAAGCATACAGCCAGTCCGATAGTAGAAGGTTACTGTAGTCTGAATCATTAGAGGTGTCATGTGCGCTTTTTCGACTCTGAATAATGGTCTCTTAATGAATAGATGTTGGAAAAATTAAAGTGAGTAGCAGGTATACTTAGTTTTTATATAAATTGATGTATATGCGATGTCTATGTCTATCTAGTTTATGTCAATTATAAATAATTAGGAAATTTACTCACTTTTTGATTTAGTTTTCTTTCGAACCTTTTTCTGGACAACTAATCCAGTTTTTTTACAATAGTGCTCCAGCATTTTCAAAAATAAATGTACTGTTTCCACTAAGTCCACCAAATAGGACCTAAAATTTTGATTAAATAATTAATTAACAATAACGACATACTATTGATATGTTATATTATTTGTGACATACCTTGGCATTTTGTTTTCATCATAATTTAAAAATGTACTAAGAATAAATTCTCTGTATTCCAAGACATAAAAAATATTACTCTTTAATACTTTTGCTGATTCCTTGACTGTTGAATCACTACTCTTTTCCATAGCTAGAAGAGTATTTAATAATTCTTTATAGGCTCTAAGTGCCAGGTGCAGTCGCCTAACCCATGTTGCAAATTTTTTCTTTTCCACTTTAATCATGTCGTAATATTTTTCCATTTGCTGCTGAACATAATGGAACATGGGAACCGACATGGTCTCACTAAAAATGCATAAAAACATTATTATAATTGTTCAATAAACACAACTCATAATTGTTTAACTAAACGATTAATACAAATACATTCATTTTAACACATGTATATACAACTTACTAAGTTACATGAAAAAATTTTAATATGAAAATTAAGTAGATGTTACAAACTTAAAAAAATTAAAATTAAAAAATAATGTAGTCTGTAGTAAAATAAATCTAGCAATGTATTTAATAATAAATATTCATCAAGCTAGTAAGTAATCCTTACATTTACTAAACATATATGAAGAATCCAAACCCAAATTGCAAACAAACAAACCTGACTAATCCAACTTGAAAATTGTGACCTCTATTAAATTCCATAAAAAATTTCACAGCCCATAAGTAATACGATTCATCGTTTTGCTGTGCTTTTGCCCTTACAAGAACATCTTTTACATAATGCATTAAGGGGTTGTATGAGCTGTTTAGGAATTCTATGCAAAATTCTTTTAAAAATAATCTGAAATGTAATAAAATAAAAACAAAACATTTTAAAATTCATTTTTAAATTTTAAATACGAAAGTTTCTAATGATGGATAAATGGATATATGTTTGTTACTCTCACTCTGTGTTCACACAATAATTACTGACCGGATTTGAATGAAATTTGGTACACAAGTAGGTTATGTACGTAATTTAGTATATAGTATATTTTTGTACTGATTCACGTGGTCAGGAATCGCGAGATACTGCTAGTAATAAATAGATTCAAATTTCGAATATTATGATTCGGAAGGATTCGAACTCGCATCTTCTAGCAATCTGCGGCGGGCGCATGGTTGTATTAAGATTTTGAATACATTAAAGCGGGGTTAAAATATATTCTAGCCTAATAATTTACAGCTCTTTAAAATCTGAAGGTCCAGGTTTACACGGCTATATGGCTGAATGTATTTTATTGAAATGGTTTGGGAGTACTGTTGGAATGTATTGAAAGAGGAAGGTTATTTTTTAAATAATAGAATAGTTTTGTACAGTATTTTATGTTAATTATATATAACAGTTTTAATTTTAATAAAATACACACCTTATGGCAAAAGCTGATCTTCTTTCTAAAATACCACTTTCCACTGGCCTCCTATTTTTTGGTTTCACTAGTTTAGATTTCTTACTACCGTTGAAATTTATGTTAGATATTTTATTCAGAGGCTTTAAACAAATCAGCTCATTGTCTGATATTGATTTCATATTCTGAACCACATAAGTTCCTCCAAAGCGGGAATGTCTAGGAAGTATAATTAAAGTATTTTATTATGTTTGTAATAAAAAGTATCATCACAACATCAAAATAAATTTATTTAAATTCTAGGTATGTGATCTATATATGAAGGATATATAGATCACATTTACAAATTTTTATACACACTTTCATACTCTATTTACTTTTAGAAGATGAATTAATATTATTCACCCACATTATTATATATATAAAAAATTGCTATGTAAAATGTTGTGTTCTAAGACTTTAAATCCACTAGTTTAAGTCGTGTAAGGTTAGTAAGTATAACTTTTTAAATGGATTTTGAAAATAAAATAGCCATATATACTAAAAAACCAGGAAAATGTAGACTATCAAATCTACAGTTTCATTGGACATTAGTTTAAAGAGGAGTTGGAATGAGAGTGAAGCTTTGTAAAGATCTATCTAAAAGTATATATGTCTTTTTTTGAAGTAGTCAGGCCCATCTGGGTAAATAATCTTAAATACGTCATAAGTCAATAAAATAGTCATGTTCACAAGAATCAGTTATGAGTTTATAAGTAATAATTATTTTAAAGTTATATGTCCTGAGTTATCATAGGAAGTTCAATTTTTTTTTGTAAATAATACTTATATATAGCCTATTTTACATAATTACATAGCTGATAATGTAGCTTTCTATAGGTGAAAGAAGTTTTAAGATCAGTTGAGCAGTTTTTGAGTTTATCCATTACAAACAAAAAATAAAATCTTTCCTTTTTATAATATTTAGTATAGATAATAATGGTAAATAATTTACTAAACTAGGTGTTATTTTGTAGAAGTTCATATGTATAGAACTAAATAATAGTAGTCAATTTTCGAGTGTTGGTAGTAGCACATATACTATTGGTAGTGGAATTAAACAAAATAATTGTAATATATTTAACATAATAATGGCAGTTGACATAGGCTTGTAAGGTAGTTGATGTTGTAAATGAATTCAATTAGCAATATAAGCTTAGAAATACTACCTAATTCTATTATGAAATATTTCCTTATTTACATTTAAAGAATCAAGAATGAGTTTATTTGATTATAATAAATGAATGTACAAATATTGTGTCCTAATAAACTCATATCTCATCTTTTATGCTATTTTTACTACTCTTTACCTGGTTGCTGAATACTGTTTAATCTTGTTCAGTTTATTTTTATTTTCGGCCATTCTTATTGAAAGTAGCTCTTGTTCATCTCTCAGTTTTTCATCAACACTCCTTTGCAAAGCAGCATCAGCTAAACTTGTTGGATTTTGCTCTCTCAACAAATGAGATATAATTTCAATGATATGCATAAAATACTGTTTTTCATTTTCAGATGACATATAAAGTAATATGTCAAGAATACCCGATTGATTCAAGGCCCAAAGAACCTAAAATATGGCTTTATCATAAAGTAAGTTAATTATGATAACCAGGCTCCCTAAACAAGCTCTCGTGTGCTTGCATGAGAAGAAACAAGATAGAAAACATCACTATCTCATTCTATCTCATAGAGTTACTAGTGATAATGATGCTATCTATAGATTTATGTCACTTTTTTAGAAAGGCTGGCTATAACAAAGAGCAGATAACAAATTAATTTTAATTTAATTATGAAGTTATCTATTTATATAAGAAATCATAATATTTAAATTTCTAATTAATGTCATATCATAATTTATATTGAAAATAAAAAAAAAATGTGCAGGTTACAATAATTGCAGTAAGATAATCCAAGGCATTTAAAAAAATTGTAATTGTAAAAAATGAAGAATCACCAGAGGTAATACAATGATATTGAAATTGGCTTAGAATATCACTATTATCAGTGATATCCTAAATTGATTTTGATATTGGTTCAAATAATTTAGAACAAATGTTTATAATGTGATTTTTTTTGTTTCTCAATACTAGACTATTAGCTTAACAATTAATGTAATGATGATGATAATAGCTACAGAAAATGTGACAATGACTTACTAAAAATATTAAGAAAATAGGAATTAAATTGTCAAAATATTTTATTTTATTAAAAAAAAAAAATCTGACCTGATCATGCACACTAGCATCATTCTCTGGTCTCTTTTCTCTATCAAGATCTGCAGGTACATGGAGCACATTTCTAATTAATATCAGAATCCTCTCAATAATTAATCCCGTATCCTCATCTCGTTCACTCCAATCCTAATTAAAAATATTTCATGTGATATATAATAAGTTTTGTTACCTTATGTTGATATAAATACTGAGAATAAACACTGATGATCAATTTTATAATGTTTATTCAGAGTATTTTTAAAAACAGAATTTATTTAGGATGAGTACTCAGTCTGGATACGGCAATTTAAAAATGGAAGAGTTGAGTTGTTTAGGTATTATACTAGGTTCTTTTACTTCCTATGGGTCTAAAGGTGATTTATAGAATAATATATATTGTAAAAAGACTTTAAATTCCAATATTATTATTAAATATAAGGTTTATTTATACTTACAATTTCTAATATTTTTGCTAGTTTTTTAGCAAAAACATTCCATGTTTCCACTTTTGTGAAAGCTTCCTCTTTGTACGACTGTAAGTGGGACAATATTTGCAAATAATTGTGTCTCGCTGTACGTTCAACAGGGACTTCTTCATGATACAGCAATAGAGCAGGATTTGTGAGGTTAACCAGAAGTCTGTGGAAGTCAGATTATGGGTTAATAGATTAAACTTTAATGAATAATAAATTTTATTTTTGAAATTTATTATGGATACAAATTGTAAATACCTTAATGTCACATCAAAAAGATCTGTATGCTTCCAATGGTCAATTAGCATTGGTAAAAGGTCAGTCTGTAAAACTTTTGTTTGACCGAAATGTCTGCGTATTTCGTGATCTTCACCATCACGACGTAAATATCTTATCAAATCTTTAACTGTATTAAGGGTAAAATCGTCAATAAGATATTTTCCTGTTCGTTTATCATAAGTACCCAATGCATTGCAAGTTGCAGATAATTCAGCAGATAGCAGCGAAGACATGTTACGTTTGTTTCACATTAAATTATTTAACACTTAAATTTTAAACTGGAAATTTATAATATTCAATAATAATGAACTTTAACAAAAAATAAACTTATAAAGACGAAAGACAATTATTTGACGTTTTTGATATATGTCAAAAAGCCCGCGTAAAAATCATAAACTATTCTATTTTTTTTACGACATAGGATAGAAAAAGAAAGTCTTTCATGTGTATAATAACTATAAATAAAATAAAAATAAATAAATAACTTTAGTCACAGACATAATAATAAAGCAAACTAAGCATGAGGTAGAGATACGCGACTTTACTAATCCGACTACTAATTATTTGACTGAGTAAATCATTGGAATTATTCGAGTGATTTTCAAATATTCCGATTACTAACTTTATTCACCGACTATTAATATCGTCCGAGTGTTAATATCATACAACTACTAATGTAATTCAATAGTAGTTGTTGATGTACAAATCGCCATGAACATAGACGATAGACCCTAAGAACAAGGAATTACATAGAAAGAATGATAAAACAAAAATTGTAAATCATATGGTTGTCTCCTTTCTTCTTATGCAAATATACTTAGTAAAAAGAGGATAAAAGATACACCATCAGTTGCTATTTTTTCTCAATTCATAGCGGGCTAGTGTAAAGTTTTATATGTCAATTATTTGTCAATAACAAATTTATCATTAGTAAATTATATATTTGACACAGTTTATGAGAAAACATGCAAGTTGTATTTGGTAGGGTACAGATACAACCTGTATTTGGTAGGGTTATATATATGGTCGTATAACATTTTCTTCACTTCACCAATGTTTTTTTTGTAACGATCTTTGGTTTTAGTATGTGGTTTGTATTTTGTTTTAATTTACGTATTAAATATGATATTAATTGCCGTCCAACAAGCTTATTAAAATTTGTATTATACTTTAAAACTTATTTCCATAATGATGGATGTGGAATGTTACGGGAGACCAATAATGTTATTTTATATTTAAATATTTTATAACGTACAATGTTACAGAGATTATTTTAGTGACAAGACATAAGTGTTTATTTTTTTAATTAATTGAGTTGTAGGTCTATGGCCGTGTACAACCTCTTTCTTACACATAACAATTTGTCTTGTTTGTATTTTTTTAGAAGTTATTTGAGTGCCCCCAATGGCATATATAATGTAGCTATTTTTGATATAACAGCTCCGTTACTTTAAGTGACTATAAGTTCTTTTGTATATTATACTTTACAATTTTCAAATGATATGGTCGTATTAATTTCATACTAATGTTCTTTTTTTCAAAGTGACGTGGACTTGATGTTATCATTGAAAGCTTATGGATGTTGCAGGTACTATCCTGAATCTATAAACAGATCGCTACTGAAGAACTGAAACATAGTCTAACCTAGTGTAACTTACAAACATACTTTCCCTATCCTCTGTCTAACATTGATATTTCCAGTAAGGTCCGACCGAAACATGGTTTTGATGGTTAAAATCGAAACCGACAGTTTGGTCGAATACTAATCTTAAAGAGATTGTTTGTAATAGAGAGTGAATTGGTCACGATTGCAAATTAGTTACTTGACTTTATCTTCATCTATCTTTCCTCATTGGTACCCCATCAACGTTAACTGGTCACACGGATGGGGCTTTCATTCTATTATTGTCTTATAAATTATATATGTAGGTATATTTGCTTCACTTGTGTTTATATCATCAAGTAGCTCTGTTTACATGTTTTTAGAAGGCGATAAATTTTTTGTATACCACAAAGGTGGCAAACAAGCTTACAAACTGTCTGATAGTAAACGGGTACTGCCATGTCACGTTACGTGCGCCTTGCCGACCCTAAAGAAACTTTAATATACCCTTTTTAATGAATCCAATACTATAGTTTCTAGAGAAAACCTCGACTGTCGAATAAGGTCCCTACCTTATTCGACAGCCTGAGCGTTCACGAAAGAACTTTTAAACCGCACTGTACAATTTAATTTCAAGCGTGTGAGGATGAATTCCCTGTCGATAGCGAACAGTGCAATAATAAAAGGTGGCTGAATGGTAGGGTCTTATTTTTTTTATAGGTGATAATGGCGGGGGAATGGTAGGGTCAAGTACAAATAAAGGCAAGGTAAAGTAATATTGAGATAGATATATGTATTACACCTTAGTCCTTAAGAATCGCAAATTAAATCTGTGAAATTCATGGTTTGGTTCATATTTATAGGAAATAGTAACCATACTCCATCTGGTGGACCATCAGGTTGTTTGTTATACTAAGCCGTTTAAAAAATCGTCGATTCTTTTATGAGAAAAGTTCTAATAAGTAAGTGGGGAAGAAGGATTTAAAATGATGAGGGTCAAAAGTATTGTTGAACTTGTGTGCTCATCCCAACTTTTGTACTTACTTGTACTTATCTAATAAATACAGAAAAAATTAGATATGAACTTTATATTTCGTTGGACCGCAATCAAGCGTTGTTTATGAATACCGGCGTTTAAATATGGATCAATAGCATTGTAATCAGAATTAATAAAAAACAAATTATTAATTACCCTGTGATCCCGGCACAGAATGTGCTACCTTTTCCTTTTCCGCGAGTGTCGTAAGGCAACTAAGAGAACTTAATAGTCGAGGGATGGGCAATAGCGTCCCTCTTAAAACATCACTGAAGCTGAACTGCGGTTGCCAAACCGCTTGCTAAGCATGGCAACTACTGGCAATACCCTCTAATAGGAGAAGGCGTATGTTCAGCAGAGGATAATTAACTGCTAACATGATGATGATGATGATGAAATTATTTATGAAAATTGCGTCATTTAGAATACTCCTTATGAAATTGTTTGTGTATAAAAGTATTTATAAACATTAATCTCCTTAGATAAGTAGATTATAGCTTTATCAGAGAAAAATCAATACTCGCGGTGGGTTGTTATGAATTGAATGGGAATAGTTTTAATGCTCAAGATGTGAAGAATCTTGAGCGCGCGAACCCTTCGTTTAGTAATTCCTATTCATTCATCTATAATCTATTCTTGTTCTTTCACTATCCAAGTTATACGTTTCTGAAACTTCTTATCTCTTTCCATTAGATCAGCGTAATCTCTTGCACTGTAAGCCAGGTAAAATATCATTACTTATTTCTCTAAATTGCCTTGATGTTTAGTACGTGTTATTTACCTTGGCTTATTTAGTATATTTATGTATTTATGTATATGTACTATTATTTATATTATATATGTACGTTTATATAATTTAGTCTTATTATTATATAAGTGGTATTTAGAATAATATGCATTTTATTTGGTTATTTTTTTTTTTGTATTTACTGTGTCTGACTTGCGCCATTTACCTTTTTCTTTGTACTTATCTACTATTTATGCCGAGTTGTCTGTAAGAGATTGCTTTTAGCGATAAGGTCGCCCTTTGTATATGCACATTCTGTATAAATACTCCTTGTATACATCTTGTTTGTGCGCAATAAAGAGTTTATTATTATTATGTTGGAGATTACTATGGTCAAAGTTGTCGAACGCGGATGTATACTTGGAACAATTTGTCAGACTCGATAAGTCCATCTTCGACCGAGAGTGGGAAAGGGATTGTTAGTATTGGGGATCTAACAGCCCCATTATTAGCACTATACCCTATCAAGTAGACTTTCCCGTGGAAACCATCTTGATTATTTTTTTATGAATTGGTCACTATGGGCGAACTGACCAGGTTCATCGTCACCTATCATCTCTCACTGGTATTTTATACTGATAGCACAGGCGAGGTTACCATTCCATTATTAACCATAAAAAAAAAACTTCGACTGAGAAGTCAACCGACAAATACAACTCGGCTGGACAGCGTTCGGAAAACTACGGTATATTTTCTCATCTAAAATATCTCAGAATTTGAAGGTGAAGGTCTTTAACCAGTGCGTGTTGCCAATGATGCTTTTCGAAACCGAAACATGGTCCTATACGATTTTATTTAATAGATGATGATGGATGGTAATCCCGCCTGCGTTATCGGAATACGCTGGCGGGGCACCAGGTAGGGATGATAGATGAGGATGAAAAGGCAGGTCAGTTAGCCCATCATGACGAAATCCAATAGAATTAACCACGATGGTTTCCAGGGGGAACCGCGTGAAGGTTGACCTGATAGGAAGTAGGTCAATTAGACCCCATAACTAACAATCCCTTTCCCCCCAGTATCGTTAGCCGTATGCGAAAGCTTCAAATTGCTTTGCAGACTATAGAGAGAGCTATGCTCAGTTTCTTTGCGTGATAGAATCTGAAATGAGGATACCCGCAGTAGAGTCAAAGTGATCAACATAGCCTAAAGGATAACCAAGCTGAAGAGGCAAGTCACGTACCGCGAGGAACCGACAACCAATGGAGATGAAAGGTTCTTTAGTGGCGATCTCGGACAGGCAGACGCAGTGTAATATAACCTCCCACTAGATGAAGCGACGATTTAAAATCATCGCAAGGAGTCAGTGGATACAGGTGGGTCGTAACCATTCCTTATGATATATCTATGTCTATAGGGAAGGCCTTTTTTGCAGCAGTGGACAGATAATGGGTGAGATGGTAATGGTGAAGATAAGAATATAAAAAAAAATATTGTTAAAAGTTAACGGTTATTATTTTACGTATTTGTGAAAACCTGCAATTGGCTTTTTGTCTTTACTGTTCTTTTTTATAGTGAAACTTTATAGCTGTTGGTTTTCCTTTAATAAAAAAATAAATTATATATATATATATATATATATATATATATATATATATATATATATATATATATATATATATATAATATAAACGTGAATGTTTAGATGTTTGTTTCCTAGGAGCGAATTTGCAACAAATTTAAAAGGTACACACATAAATTTTATCCTAAATTAATTTATATATAAGTCACAGCATATTTTTTTATTCTAATTAATGTGGACAAATCTTAAAATTTTCCTTAGTTAATTTTTAAGTGATTTGAAAGAGGAGATTCTAAGTAAAATAAAAATAAATTAATTTGTTCATGACTGTATATCTCTAATGTATCTCTAATGGGGTTGTCTGGTACATATTTTAGTAAACATCCAACATCAATTTAAATTCGATGGTTATAAGATGTGTTTTTATTTATATGTATGTTTGATGATATATTCACCAATTCTAATCTGGTTTTGCTGATTATTTCTATAAAAAATTTATTTATGTCGGTTTCGTAGATAGTAAGTCTTTACTAAGTCCCGGCATACAAATACATACATATTTAAAAAAAATATTTGTAAATGACTGAAAGGCCTTTAAATAATATCGTTATTGTATAATACATATACATATATCTGTTTAGATAAATAAACAGAATTCGTAAACTTTATGGCTCAAGCGCAGTTGGTTTAACCTGCATAACGTTATCGACAGTTAAACGAGATAATCCTGATAAGTGGTGTCGTGCCAGAACGCATCCTGAACTGTTGGGAAACTGGCTGTGGGCCAGGGACAATGGGCTTGACAGCGATTGGGCTTGTGTAGGGGAGACCGAGGAGAGTTGAACCATTTTTTATATTGAGACCCATAACTTTTTAATTAAGCGATAGAGATGATCTTGTATTATACTAAATGAAACCTTGTTTATCTAACTAATAAATGTTTAGGATAAAAACTGCTACTATTTCTTTTTTACCCATAAAAAGTTGACTTAAAGACAACTAGTGACTTTGTATCAACTCTCCTCTTACTGAGATAAATTGAAACACTGGTCTAGGAGAGTTGAAACAATTATTATCTGGAAGCAATCCATTATTATGAAACACAGATTTGAAAGTAAATGTTATATTAATGTTACAATTATCCTTAATTTGTACTATCAGTCTCATAGTTACAATATTGAGATCTTAGAAACAAAAAAATAACAAATAATTAAACATTGAAATTTATAGAAAATAAAAAAATAAAACAATCTTAGTTAAACAAATTATTATGGCACCCATAGGACATCTCGCCTTCAGTGCATTCCAGGTGCGCCCATGCCTTACACTCCATACACTGGATCCATTGTTCATTTGGCTTACTTCGTGAAAACGGTTCTACACAAACTATACAGAAACAGTGCTCGTCATCATCACTGCTGCTATCTCCTATTTTACTAGCTTTTCCTTTCTTTCCTTTTTTAGCTTTTCTTTTCGCTGATTTTACTATTTTTTCACTAGTTTCGCAGGTTTTCTTTCAGGTTAAATATATGTCTTTTTAATTTATTACTATTTCTTTTGGCTTCAATTGCTGCTATTTCATTTTTCACTGGTGTATTAGTTAATATGGCTGATTTTTACCAGAGGGAGACTGTACAAAAGTCGATTGCTTGGGTACCTCTGTCCCATTCGTGTTTCTACCGTGAAGCAATTATGTTTGCATGGCTGTGTTTCGGTTTGATGGGTGGGATATGGCGTGAATTTACAGGGTACAGAGAAATAACACCTAAGTCCTCAGGAATGGCAACGCATAGGGGGTATCATGGACGAAACAGTTCTGTTATGTCCATGGTATTGCTCTTGTCTATAGGCGACGGTTACTACTTTCCATCAGGTGGGTCGTCAGCTTGTACGCCATTCTAAGTTGTATAAAAAAAATTTTACCTTTTTTCTATTTTGTGTGCCTTTCCTAGGCACTACTTTCGGTAAAAGTCGGATTGTTTCTGGAGAGAATACACCGGGTGTGGATCTGTTTGCAGCTGAAACGGTGGGGCTATCTGATGTCATCAGTGTGAAGACCATCGAAGTCATTATTAGGAATGGCATCGTGAATATTAAGCGGATACGATGATACTTCAGCTACATTTGTATTCGTTTCAGAACCTGAATAATTATTTAACAATGCATTAATGACCGAAGGACTTGGAGTTCGATCATCTTCACTTTAAAGTTCAGTTTCTTCTACTTGGATAACAGAATTTTCTTGCATAACTGATGATGGCAACGGTCGATCGGTGACTTGATTTGGTAAAAATTCGTCATCGCCAAATATGTCTGTATTGAGCGGTTACAATTCAGTTATCCGAAATCCTGCAGTCATATTCTGTAGGGCTATGATACCCAACTGATGGTAGTGTGGTTGTTTTATTGGTTTCGTAGGCTTTTTTTTTATTTTTAATATATCTATAAAGCGATGTGTGGTTTAAGTTATAACTTTTGGCAGCATCACGAAGAGTTTTATTACGTAACATAACTTCTTCGAAGGTTAGTTCATATATTTCTTTGCTTGCCATACCTCGGTCAGTCTTCCGTTTGTATTCGTTCTGCATCCTAAAACCTAAGCTAAGCTCAAAGCATACCGTTACAAATAAAAAATCTACTTAAAATAAAATACCAATGCATAACAAAATGCAAATGAGGTGAGTTGAAACAGGCTGTTTCAACCCTCCCAGGGTACAGAAGTCGGCTGCCATTAGGTTTGAGCGGACATAACTTTGTTACACTGCACAGTCATGCAAAATCTTTATTATAGTTTAAATCTTAGATTCATAAGCTGGCAAATAACACAATACACTTAGGCTAAAACAGTTAATTAATAAAAATTTAGATGAAGATATTATTATGATGAAAACTTACTTTTACAAATTTTTTCACCTGACATTTAATAGCGGCGTAAGCGTCGATCATGGCGCATGGACGAATACTGAGCGCCCGAGCGGGTGGCGGGAAGAGCAAATTAGCAAAATTGCCAACTTGCTAGTGCTTTTAGATTTCGAGAAATTTATATTGTTTCAACCCACCTTTGGTTCAATTGTCCTCGGTCTCCCCTACTGTAAATTGGACATTAATGAAAAAACAATTAAATCGGTTGTTATAGCAGGAATGTCATTCGTACAAGTTATATCTTTACGTAAGTTTTACACCAACTTAGGGGGGTTTTGCCAGTAGTTGCTATGCTTGGGGTTGGCAACTGCGATTTGGCTTTAAAAATGTATTAAGAGGGACGCTGCTGTCCAACTCTCGCCCTCTCTTAGTCAATTCTTACGACACCCATGGGAACGGAAGAGGTGTTCTATGCCGGGACCACACGGGAATTTGATATAATAAAAAAGTTTTATAGTAATAATTTTTCAAAAAATACATTAATCCCAAATGCTTTGAAGCTATTCTAAAACTGTTCAGGAACTTATTACTTGGCGTCAACGTGGGAATAAATGCGTACAATATCACTACCGATAATTTATACAATTGAAATTGTAAATATCGAATTATTAAATTGAGTAGCGAATTATGTGATTTTAAGGAGAATATTATTTTATTGTTTTTATTACTTACAAGTATAAATTTAACTAAGCGCATTATTCTATTTTATTTTGTAACAGAAAGCAAATCAAGATCATCTGATGATAAATGACTACCGCTGCTCATAAGCACTTGTAACACCGGAGGAATTGCAGATATGCTGCCATTTTTTGAAAAAGGAATATACCTTTTTCTTGAAGGTTACGGGGTGGTATTGGTTGGGAAATAATGCTATTGGGAGTTGGCTCCAAACCGTGATTGTACGTGGAAGAAATTGAAAACACATGGAGAAAAACCGCCACTCAATCTATTAAAGTAGCTTGTAATGCAGTAGAAGTAATAAGTTTATTTATAAGATATTTAGGTCTAACAGAGTATGATGATGTATGAGTATGTTAGATATGTCTTGACATATTATATAACATACCCGTAAGCCACTTTATGGGGGGAAGGGGTGTGTGGGCTGAGTTCACCCTTTAATTGACATTGTGCCCATCCCAAGACATGAATAGATCTTTTAGTTATGTGTAAAGATGTGTCTGAAAGTACATATGCGTTTTTTTATGGAGCCAGCTTTCCCTCGCAAAAAATGTGGAGGGAAGTTTTGAATTAGAACATACCTATTTTTACTTATATAATCATATTTTTAAATAAATTATGACTGTCCAGTCTCACATACATAAAAATTTTTTCTCGCAATACTTTCTGAGTGACCTGGTAAATTGTAAACTGGGTTGACTGACATGTAGCATAACTAGTCAAGCATTCTTGAAAAAAAAAATATACGTAAATAACCTACTCAAGAAATTTATAACAATGAAATGTAGGCTCAAATCTCACTAACTACCATCCTTTTTTATTTGTACCTGTATTTACTACTCTAATTTGAAAACTCATATATTCGTATAAGTATGATAATCTTGCATTATTGTTGGAAATCTTTTAAAGAATGTTAATAGGTACCTACCCGATAACAGACCACCGTGATATATATAAAAGGAACACAATAAGGTATTAACTGATTCAGTCGTCACATTGACAAAAAGCAAAATCCATTTGCTCGCCATTTTTCTCTCGTATTTTCGTATTTTTTTCGCAGTCGCAGAACTTTCTCAGTAGAATATAAAGGTTTTACCTACCGTTCCGAAACGAAAGGGTTCCGTGGTCCTTAGGGCCCGGAATCACAATGAACGTAACATAATGAAACTTTTGCCAGTAGCGATTCTTAGAAAACGTTTACTACTGGGGGTTTTAGTAGGTACTACAGTTACCTATTAGATATGTAAGTAGATATTATTTATAAATTTTAGTAAATAAATGGTGATAAAATAAAATAATAGTAGTAAATTAATATAATGCTGATAATACTTAAACATACTTGGGTAGAGAAAGTTGTTATTAAACATTGTTGATATTTTAAAGTATATTATAAAATATGCATAATATTTTATAAGCTTGAAAATATAATATTTTATTTATGTTGATCTCAACTTGATTGGATTCCTAGAATAAATAAAGATAATTAAGTATAAAAAAGATATTCAATGGACACAACACATACAAGTAAAAAACGTACCTAAGTCGAGAATAAATATAAATAGGTTTCTAATGATCTCATCTACCGGCAAACCCAATTAAATTAAGTTTTTCTGAAACAGTTTTTTTTCATTTGAAAGTAGATCCAAAGCTCTTTTACTGAAATGAGGGCCTATTTAAACAGTATTTTTTCAATGGTATTACTCAAATATTTAGGCTTAGTATTAAGTAATTGGATATAATGTATTGGATAGATGAGATTTAATAGGTATTTACTAATCTATTAGGTACATATAACATTAAACAACATATGACGAACAATAAGTTAATTATTTCTCGAGCCATTGTAAGTACTTTTCAATATACATAGAATTTAGCAAGTTCACAATATTATTTGCTTTTAAGACTTCTTTAAATTGCATCTCATTAGGAGAGCCCTACATAAACCAGGCGTGGAGCGATTCTAAGTGAACGCCGACTACCCTCCACCCTAACTACCTACCACCTTCTAATGCTTATAATGCCATCTAAATTGTAAGAGCTCTACTGCGATATTTTTATTTCTCAGTACTCCCATTTACGTGTCATTCATGAGTAATAAACCCGTCGTGGGAGTTTTACATAAATATCTACCTAATGTGTATAGAGTTATGAATTTTTCCAGTTAATTGTTTTTTTTTTCATATAGTGTTATTATTTTTTTCACACGATACTTCAGTAATTAATACTTATGCAATGTAATTCACACCAAATAGGATTTTTGAAATTGACTTAATTTAAAGTAAATAACTTATTATTAAATTAAGTAAATAACTTTATTGCCTAGATGAACATATTATACAAATGGCGAACTTAAAGCTAATAAGTACCTAGTATTTTCTACTAGTGGTTGACTAGTAGAAAATACTAGGTTTGTATGAAAATGTTGCAACGGTAAATCACGATATTATCACGATACACGTATATTTTAAAATATTGCACTCTATTTAAGCGAAGTAATTTTCTTAAAGAATAGCTACGGTTACAACTAGGGATGTTTTGTCACAAACAAATAAATGTACCGAAGTAATACCATTTTATTTATGGCTGGTGGTTAGAGGAGGCAATAAAAGAAGTGGTCATCCGTCAGACGCACTCTCGAGTCACAGAACGTAATCAAGACATTCGTCACAAGCCTGCGGCTCGCGGGACATCGCTCAAACGGCCAAAACCCCTGTTTACTCACTGTGAAAGAATGATTAGGTATATTTTTGCGTTTGGCATAACCATGATATTGCAATCAGACTTTATGTTTAAGTAATTATAATTTATGAAATCCTATGAAGAATTAATAAAATTAACTAGTATTATATAAAAAGGATTCGTTTTTGTTACGTATTTTTACTCGTAATCCAGTAAATTAATATAATATTTATACCGATCACGCAGACAAAGTTGCAGGTAAAAATTAATTATCACTACATGGTATAAGACAAAGTCGCTTCCCGTCTGTCTGTCTCTATGTATGCTTAGTAAACTAAGCAATGGATTTTGATATACTACGCAATGTTTTTTTTAATAGATAGAGTAATTTAATAGAAAGGTTTATATGTATAGAACATGCATATAGTAGAGAAACGCTGATAATTTCAGAGGTTACTAATGTGATGTCGTAAATAAATATTTTTTTTACAGTTACATTGTAAATGCGGGCTGAACCCTACGAGATAGATCAAAATAATGTACTACAGTATTATACACTTTAAGAAGGTCTACAAAAAGGTCCGCGATGGTATGTCTATCCCTTAGGGATAACCCACAATAACAATTTTTTATCCTTTACTTTTTACGAGAAATAATAGCTTATTTACGAAGCGATTTTAAGCAATACAACTTATTCAATTAAGTATCTTGAATACATTGTGCATTTAATATAGATGGCTTTTTACTATATATAATTTAAAACAATATTTTCGAAGATATTACAGATTTAAAATGCAGAGACATAGCGGTTGCGGCGGTACCGGCCGGAGGCTGGCGGCGCTATTTAGTATCATCATTGCACCATTACGAAGTCGAGGTGTGACGCTAGTAAATAATATCTAAGAATACCTTTTCAAAATTATGTTTTTCTATTTATAATTAACGACAAATTCAATAATATATAATACTGTACATCTGTTATATATCAAATCAGATAGAGACATTTACGAGTCTTGTATATAATGGTTAATTGCGGTCGACCACGTCAAGCTATATTCTGGAGACGCTGTCCGTCAAAACAGTAAATATTACGTAGAAACATAAACGAGCTAAAAATACCTATATGTCATGTTAGTACTTAATTTATAAGGGCATGAAGATAAATTGATTATAGTATCTATCTATCTATCCATTTAAGAGCTGCGCTCTTGTCGGTGGAGCTCTTGCCACTTGATTATAGTAATGGTGGTTTAAATTCCACTAAAATACCTATACCTGTGAAAGTAATCCATGATAGGGTAGGTACTCGCCTATTGTTGATTTGGTTACTTTGTCAAACATAATTAGGTCTAAAGAGGCAGGAAATAAACTTACCTACGATTATAGGATTTACTTGATTTGTTAACGGAGCCCTTTATCGCCGGGTTCATAGTTAATAATAATTTTAAATTGACACAAAGTTTTGATATCAGTTAAATTTGAATAACATCATTTTCTTTCGAATTTTAAAAATTATGAATTTTCTGTTATATAAAACATTCATTGTATTATAGATCTTTCAAAGAGTGATTATAGTAAATATATATTAATATTTATATATAAGATATATTATAATATTTGATATATACAGATAATATTTCAGATCGATACATTAACATCTTTAACTTATGAGTAGTACATTTATAACATTACCCTAAGGTTGTCTTGAAAAGATTGCTCTCAGCAATAAGACCGCCTTACTGTACAATTGTATCGTTGTGTTTGTTAATTGTCTTGCTTATTTCCTATATTGTGTAATGCAAATAAAATATACTCATTCATTCATTTAGTCATTCATTATGAGCTTTAATTGTCCATTTTACATTTATAAAAATATCCATATACTTTCATTGTTAACGACAAAATAAATTTCTGTGACTCTAGTTCAAGTAGTCATAAGTTGATGAATCAGTCCATCACACATAAAGAGCTTCTTTTTACAACTCTTTTTGATTTATGATACCCTAATAATAAAATGATACTGCGACCGCTCTTTTTCCCACGGTTGGAGTAAACCTTGTACTCATGGGTACCCATGCACGACACTAAACGCCTCTCATTTTTCTATAGTTGGAGGAAAATTGCTGTCGTATTTCCGGCTCACATGTCCTTAAGCCGGAGACAACGAGATTATCCGCGGGGAAATAAAATGGAGACACAAGAATCATCAATCTCCCTACATACAATCCGGTAGATGGGGCTAATAATATTGGCAAAGTTATCCGATAAGAAAAACCTACGTACTTGAAAGCTATCAAGTGATCGTTAAAGCAATCAAAGTTGTGGAAAAATCTTGTTTGATTTTTTACTGAAATGAGGAGAGAAACTCATAAGAACAGTGGCGGACTTCTCGTATCTAAATATAGGTTGACGTATTTTATTACTCCTAGACTTTAAATTATTCAATTTTTATTTGGGTTTCCTTTCATAATTCAATTTTCAAAATTCTTAACTGATATGAATAAGAAGTTTAGAATTCAATGAATTCAGTCACAAATAATGACTTTGAATTCAATGAAAAGTCTTTAAGAATTGATCTTGCCTTTGTACATTTATTTACCTCTGTCCTATATATTATTTGTGTACAATGAAGTATATTTTTTTTATTTATTAGATAGGTATAGCTTCAAATAGCTACCTTTTATTTTTCTTCTCTACTCAAAGGTTGTCTGGAAGAGATTTTTTTAGCGATAAGATCGCTTTTTGTATTTCATACGTTTAATATGTATATAATATATGTAATATTATTCTCAAATGGTGTAATGAAGAGCAAACAAATAAAATAAAGCAATAAATGATTTTGTACAAGGCCAATTGATGTAATAAATTGTGGACCTATAATGACAGTAATTTAATATTATAAAATTTTAAAAATTTAGTGCATGTACTTAATACATGGCTGACCAAATTTTGCTCGAAGAATAGTATATAATATTGCAATTAGTAATTGTTAAAGTGTTTTATTCGATTAAAAACTTGTTTTTTTTTGTCAGTTTAGTTACAACAAAATTTAAAATATTTCAATAAATTATTTATGGTTATAGAAAGTAAAATACAGTATTTAATCCGTAAAATAGTTTTGAATACGACATACGATAATGTGACGAATAGCATGCAACTTTGTTTTAGCAGATCTAAAAATATTTATTTATTTTTATTATTATAATAACGAAAAATATAAAGTGGATTCACTTACTTTAAATTTCATTGCTCTCCGTCTAGTTGTTTAGCAGTTTAAGCATGATTGAGTAACAAATGAGCCCGCCTAGGAAATCGTGTAGACGCGTACTTATATGGAAAATCTGTAGGTACCACAGATCTGAACATTGACGCTAGAATACTGAAAAGTATACTATCTTCAAAATTCTCCAATTTATTTATTTTTTATATGTATAATATAAAAAGCATATATTTTCTTTAATTTAAATATATAATATTTAATTATTTGTTAATTCATATTTACCCACCTATATCTATATCATTGTAAAAATATTATTTATCTTAAATTAGTTTTCTTATTCCACATTTTTAGCAGGGAATCACAAAAACATTAGTCAAGAATATGGA